AAGACTTTTCGTATGCAGGTATCAAAGTACTTGACATGGATTCAATGAATGCTGCCTGCAGACTCCCTTGAACCCCCACCAAAACGGATTTTCCAAAAGTGTCAATTATGTTCTGAAACCAAACTTACAAGTTACGATGATTACAATTGCTGAACTTTACTCAGACAAACCTTGCTTTTGCACACTTGTGAAATGTTATCCTTAAGCATGAGATCAAATGCTGTTAGCTTCTGAGCGACATCTATTTGTATTTGTTGCTGCAAGTGATCAATCTTCGCTGATAACATTGGCGCTAATTGACGTTGAATTTCGATGTTTATCACTTTAGATACTACATCACCAAGATGAGTTAATACATATTGATTCATTATCTGTATGAAACTGTCACGTAACTCTCTATTTTGCTGCTCCCTATTGACGAAAATCAATATACAATTATTACTTTTAGTCTAGTTATTAATAAAATGTTGAAGTACCGTCCGGCCATAAAAGCAGTCAACTTTTTTTTGTGCTCATTTTCATAACGTTTAAGATATTGCTCCATCAGCTTTGATAGCTGCATTTCGAGTTTAAATGAGAACTCGGACATACTTTTCGTGGATGACATGGGATTAGCTTTCTTCATGCTGGATATTTCTGCTTGAAGGTTGTTAATTTGCATCGACTGCATTTTTGCAAGTTCTACCAAAAACAAACAATATTTGAAGCACACAAAAAATCTAGTTCTAAAAATCTACCAATTAATTCGTTTATTTTTCCATTTAACTCCGTGAGGTCTGTATTACTTTTACTCCCCGCTCCTTCGAGATTCCCATTATTGCTGCTGTTGATGCTAATGAGGTTCGGAGCAGCATGGCTATTATTAAGATTATTTCCTGATGAGGCATTTACTGCTTGGGAAATTAAATGCGCTGCGTTCTGAAGTTCAGTGGATTGCTTGGTAGTAGCTTTCGGCAATTCCGGAACTTTTGGCCAATTTGTAATATTGGTCGTCGAATGACACTTGGCCGACGATACTTCTAAGTCTATTTACCAAAAAAAAGTTACGCATAATTACAATTTTATCAAATGAATTTGTTACATCTAAACCTTTTCCATCGGATTGGTTATCCACTTTCGCCTTGTTCGTGGTGGCAGTTTCATCAAGTAACTCTTCGTCGCCACTGTCATGTTCTTGTAGAGACATGATTTCCTGTACTTCCCGACTGGGACTAGAGCCACCACTTGCTAGATTGTCCATATGCTGGGCGGCATTATTACTAATAGCTAACAAATTAGAAAACCAGAGTTTTTGATACGAATACTTTATCAGAAAAATAATTAAATTACCAATAAATTTTTTTTGGGATTCTAGTGACTGTTTCAATTGCAATTTTTGATGTTCTTGATCTTCGATTATTTTGTTATTTACTAAGTTCAAAATATTTATACTCTCTGATTTTGGAGCCGGCGTTTGTCCCGCTACACTAGCTAGCATTAAAATCGTGTTCAGCACTTCCGAACTGACGCATTCTGGCGACTTTTTATCTGCAATAAATTTAGATACATTTAAATTGCACATTATTTAATACGGCTTCGCCATACGCAAAGTCATGTACATGCGCAAGTAAAAATGACCATAACATTTTTTAGTAATACAATTTTCCGGTTACAAAATCTTCGGTAACGTGCAGAATAGACCTGTTACTAATGAAAGAAATATGTAAATATTTATTTGGGTGCAATTCCGTATTCCTCGGAATAAAACTAGTAAAACTATCAAAGAATAAAAATTCGCTCAGAGCGAGAGAGTAACATTGAAAAATACGGGATCGCTTTCTAGTAAAAAATGGTAACTTCTGACAACTTCAACATAACCTCCAAATTTTGGTTGTCAATTTTTGCGTATTTTGTAAGTAAACATACTCAGCTCATACATGTAAATAACCAAAAACACGAACTAGCAGAATGCACTTTTTCTTTTGTTTACAATTTGGTTGCCATACACACTACAGCTGATCGTTTGACACATTTACCAGAATTTACCAGCAAAAAAAACTTCTTGCACAGGAACTTACTTGATCAAATAGCCTAAAATACAAAACACTATTAAATTCAATAAATCTATCGTCAACTCATCGTCAAAAAACTTCGGACTAAAACTGGTAACTTTCCATCCGTGGCCAGAAGGTTGTTGCCACCTTGCATTCCAGGGTCTTCGCCCAGCGCTCGCTGAGCAGACTAAATGCCCATCTGTCCAGAAGCAGACCACACGAGGTCAGGGGAGCCCCTGACCTTCCCTATCCGGAAGTAATTCCCCGAGGGTTCCCTGTCTTGCGAGCTCATCAGCCATGCAACGTTAAAACCAACAAAATAAATTTAGTTGTTTTCATAAATTGCAAACAGACGATTTTTATCAGCTGGTTTTCTTGACGACAAATTACTGCTGGTAAAAGTTTTTCCAGCGGAAAGTAGCAGCTTCTCATCAAAATGAAATGTCAGTTTGGTCTCGTCAATAGGTTTGTTCGTCGAGCAAAAAATTTGTACGAATTTGTACGAATTATCACAATTTTTGCCCAAATCGCGTTCGTGCAGACCAAAAAATATCCAACACTCAAAAATTGTGAGAGCAAAGTGACAGTTCTCTTGGAGAGAAGTTGCAAATTCTTGCTGGAAAAAATTTTGCCAGCAAGAATTTGCAAACACGAAAAACATGTGGTTGTGGCGCATGGTTGCATTTTTGTCTACAATAATTTGAATAAATTAGTTCGTTAAATTTAAAAATTTATAAACACGAGCGATTTTTTTATGAAAAAAGGAAGTAAATAATTGTTGATATAATTAATTTAGTTAATTCCAATGATTTGAACTTAATTCGGCTGAAAAAATCGTATTCGCAATCGGAATGCAATTGCAACCAGAGTCGATTTAAGAAACCCGACAGCTAGTACGATGAAGAAAATGAAATGTATGTTAAAGAAAGTCAGAACAACAAGAAATATACATGTATATCCTGTTTTTGGCCATCCGAAAGAATTTTAAAAATTCTATAAAAATTTTTTATGTTTGAAATGCAACCGTGGACGCCAGCTGGCAGCGAAACTTGCAAATTCCTGCAAATTTGCGTTCGTGCAGAAATTTGCAAGTTTCTCAACATGAGAGAGAATTTGAGAGAATTTTTTCTTACTCTCTGATATTTTGAGTGTTGGATAATTCTTGCTGGATTTTCGACGAACAAACCTAATTTCTTCTAGTTTGCTCAGTACTTTTCAAGATTTGCGTGCTCGGCTCTCTTTTATTAACTGACTTCAAAAAATGGTGGACGGTTTAAATTCGTCGGAATATATACAGGGGTAGACACTCGATGTGTTACCAATTGAAAATGCTATAATTTTGTATGTTTTGCTTATGTTTTATTCAAAACCACCAGTTTATCCACATTCGTGCATTCTGTGAAGCATACTCGGACAGACTCACTGCTATTATCCGCGCTAAAGGTGGCTATTTCGAACAGTAATATGTACTACATTTTTCTTAAACCTTGACTAGTTCTTATGAACTAAAACTGATATTTTTGAATGAAACAAAAGCAAAGTAGAAAAAATTATAGCATTTTTAGATGGTAACACTTCGAGTGCCTATGTATATTTCAGCGTAACTTTGAATCATGTTAACCGAGTTCTATATTTTTTTTTTAAGCAGGTACCTCAGAGGTTGCCCCGTACTAATGAAGAAATTAACGGCATTCTTAAATTTTATATGAGAATTGAAGTCGGTTTTGTTTTTTGCTTAAAAATTACTTGTAATAAATAGGATAGATGTAAAGGTAATTAGGTAAATTACTCTAAAATGTTAAATATCTTACCACTGGATGTTGAACTAAATGCATCTGGTGTCATAAGATTTACTTGTGTGAAGCTTTTATTGGTTGTTTGAGGAGAAGCAGCGCGTGATCCAACATCATTATTTTCAGCTGTCACCACAGATGGTATTGCGGATGGTATGGCGGATGCTGCGGTGGGTGCAGCGACAACGGAAGATAAGATTGCTGTTTGAGCGGATATTTGATTATTCAAACTAACGGGTGGGATTGTTGCAATTTCTAGTAGTGACTCCAAAGAATTTAACCCACTACTGTTTTCTGATTTTGTATTGTCTTCGTCCAATTGTTCCGTTTTTATAAGAGAATGTGATAATTTATTAATCTTGAGACTGCTTGTCATTCCTATAGTGTCATTCTTAACACCACCGCTTCCCATGCAGCTTATCGCGCTATTTAATAATGATGACTCTTTGGAAGCGATCACTTCGCCGTTTTCATCGGATAAGGTACTTCGCACATCAGTATTTTCTGTAACAGAGGGTTGATACAGTATGCGGCATTCTTGCATACTCTTCGATTGCACGATAAACATTCGCACCACAACGCAGTAGGTGGAATTAGTGTCCTCATCATAATCATCAAACTCATCACATAGGTAATTATCATTGCCACATTTATAACGCCGAACAGCAGCGTCAACGATTGAGAATGATAGAATCCCAGAACTTAATGGAAATTCAGAAATGCTCTTTATATATACGAGTGAAGGCGAGTTTTTTGAAAGTGATGTGAAACTACCGACACTACTATTGCTACTGTTGCTGATATTTGCCAAATTCCCATCAGAACCTTTACTTGCTGATGCATTATTACTGTTATTTACAATTTGCATTATATAACAGGTGCGGGTATCCAAACTTGACAAAACTAAATATGCCGACGTTCGATCGATTTCGGCAATAAATCGCGGTGCTTTCTTTTCTTCGTTCGCCGTGGTAATGCTTAGGGATTGTAGACATTGCCAAGTACTGCAATCCCACACTTTAAATTCAGTGTTATTGGCAGCGCCGGTTATAGCATATTTCCAATAAGTTCTGCAAAGAGAAGGAGCATGATCAAACAACAGCAGTATAAAGTCTACCAAGAAAATATTTATTTTGCGTTTTGCAGAGTTAGACACTATAAGACTAGAACGTCACAATAGGTTTTTGAGGTACTCAGCGCTATACTCAGATAAAACTGAAAAACCTGGTGTTGAATTACACTCTAAGAGATTTGGATCAATCAAAAAAATACGATTTAGTATACAATGCGTTCTTTGTCGAACAAACCTTATTTTGAATTCAGATAGTGGTGTTACTTAAAGATTCATATTTGAAATTTTTTTTAACTCCCCTTAATTTTAGTGGTTGAATTTCAACCGCTGGGCGAACAATAGTATATAATTATCTTACACCAGTCACAAGAACCTGGCCCGCCAAGGCGCGCCAGTTACAATTTTAAATATTTTGAGATATTTCTAAGTAGATAGTAGTTGTGTTCGTTTTGAAAAGCCAGCAAGAATTTAGCAAAGAGGGGAAACATATACATTTTTGCGCAAACAGGAATTTGCAGGTTTCACTGCCAGCTGGTGACAACAGTTGCCTTAAAGCGTAATAATTTTTTATAGAATTTTAAAAGATTTTTCAGGTGGAATACAAAACTGGAGCTTTACGTATATTTCTTCTTGTTCCGACTTTCTTCAACATACACATCAATTTCTTTGTGAAAGACACTGTAAGATTTCCTATATCGATAATGGTTGCGACTGCGTTCCGATTATGAATACAGCTTTTTCAGTCGAGTACCTTTCATTAATTAAGTAACTAAACTTGTTTATTCAAATTATTTTATTCATGAGGGCAAACATTTTCAAAGCATGCATTTGCAACTTCCCCTCCAAATGAAATGTCAAAATTGTTTTTGTCCAAACGATTTGATTTTGCTTGTATGTACATTAGGGATGTTACGAATGTGGAATTTTAGACATCGGCGGATGCGAATGTTTAAGAAACAACTAGGTAAGTAAATTAAGTTATTTAGGTAAATAAAAAATGGAAAAGTTAGTAATTTTAAATAATGTATATTTTATTTAGTGCTTGAATTTAAATATTGGAACATTACATTTAATAAAAAGTAATGATATTGCATCGGGGCTGAAAATGTCGGACGTATTCTCCCGACTTTAATCTTCACTTGAAGAATCTAGCATAATGGCGAGATCGTTGTTTAAACAGCGCTTACAAGCCAAACCAGATGTGTCAGGTTGTTCTAAACCTTTTTAAAAAGAATTATTCATTCTCTTTCGTTTGGCTATTTCAGAATTTGAGAAACCTGTAACGTCATCAGCGTTTTTCGATTTTAATTTTTGTAATTCATTTTTAGTACTTTCTTCTGCGACTGGTTTGAAAAATTTGTGCTTATAGCGAGCTAAATAGGTGGATATGGAAAATAAATTATTGTTTTCCAAGAATGAAAATTTTGAACAAAATTCGGTTTTCAAAGGCGTGGCTGTCAGCCGAATCGGATTATTTTTTTTTTAAACCACCCCGATTTTTATAAGCATTTGAATTATTGGAATCACGGATGATGGGGGTCTCAGATAGTAACGTAATTCTTACCTAATTGAGGGTCAGAACTATAGCGTTTTAATTATTTGAGAATCGATTCTCTTTAAATCCAGACGTTGACTATTTCTGCTGGAAATCCCTATTGAAGGAGATTACTCTTTGATTTTAAATAACAAAGAAGGGAGATCTAGGGGGACAGTGTTACCACAGAAGTTTTTAGCCAAGGATCCAATGTATATCCCTATGAAAAAAATATTGCTCCACAAGTAAACAAAATTATTGTTTTTAAAATTTTAGATAAAAATAAATTCCCCAAAGAGCCCCATTTGAAATGACTGAAACGAATATATCGATGGCTGAGTGGAAGATCGACCTATCTCGGCAGCCAGTTCGAAAACGCCCTATCTCAGAAAACATTTCAAGAACGCCCTACTTCAGAATTTGATTGAAAAAAACGACCTATTTCAGAATATTACTGAAAAACACCCTATCTCAGAAATTTGTTGAATAACGCCCTATCTCAGAATTCGGTTCAAAAACGTAAGGCGTTCTTGAAAAGTTTTCTGAGATAAAGCGTTGTTGAAAAATTTTCTGAGATAGGGCGTTTTCGAACCGGCTGCCGAGATAGGTCGATGTTCCACTCAGCCATCGATATGTAAGATCAAAGGAAAATCACGAAAATTTTGTTTAAAATTACAGGACACAATTTCTTCTTTTGTGTCTAGTAGTGTTTTTTAAGATTGGTCCAAAAAATCATAATAAAGAAAGCAACAAATGCAGTTATTTAAAGCACAGAAAACAAAAAAATAATTATTAAAATGACTATGTTCTATTTGACGTATGTACGTCAAAGGGCAAGTAGAAGTGGGAACTTGTATGACTGCCCATTGATAGCTCTGTTATATAGCTTAAGAAATAATATGTTTAAAGACAGGTTAACAATAACTTTGTAAGTATAAGAATGCGTGGAATTTTACAACTAACGGGTCACCCTGAAACCATTGTGATGAGTCTACAGGTATTTACATGTTTGCTACCTACCTAGAATTCTTTTTGTGAGAGTTTAGTTATTGGTTGATATTGTTCGCGAAAATATTAATTTAACTTTGAATATTGTAAAACAAACACTTAAGATAGATACGCGCGAACCACCATTCCGTAGAATCCAGGCTTCAACCCTGATCCGTGCAATAACCAATGCAATCAAAAGTGTGTTTTAACTGCGGTTTAGCGGTGAGTGAGGGGAGGGCAATGGGGTATAGCCGTTGTACTGGGTATGCAGTTACAGTTGCGCGGCTATACTCAATCCCGACTCTTGGGTCCTCGTGCGAGATGCGGTAACCAATCGGAGTGGAGCCTTGGGCCACGGCAGAAAGAGAACGAGCTTCGGTTGGGCCACTCCCACTTATTCGGTTTAAGGGCTCACTGAAGTCTGCAGCGTCTGTTCACCAGTAGGTGCGCCTGCAAGCAGCCCGCTATATAAACGTGTATTTGGGTAATCGGCGACCTCAACTCACAAAATACAGTTTTGGGGTTCAAAACATACTACACACAGTGGAATTTTTTACTATGGTCTTGGTAAACATCGCTGCCACTCTAACTTGGACATGCCTTGCCCAACCGGAAACCGGCGATCATATCCCAAATACGCGAAACGATTTATTTCCAGATTCTTAGATAAGAAAGCTGAATGGACTTCATTTAGAACCAAAACGCATATGCTGTGCAACGATCTGAATCAGACCTGCAACATAAATAAAGCAGCTCAAATTAAGAGGATTATCAGAAAGTGAGCGAACGAGGCCTCACACGCATCAGAAAACGCAACAGTCCGCTATGGTTAAACTCCGAAATAGCCAAGCTTATACAACAAAAAATTTTGCTTGGAAGCGTTTTAAACTAGTGAGATGCGATTCAAATTGTGCCAACTATAGACAAGCTTGTGCTAAGGTAAAATGGGCATGCAAAGAGGCGAAAAGAAAGTGCTGGAAAAACTTTCTCAACTCTTTAAACCCAAATTTGGACATAAAGAGTTCTTTGGCAGAAAGGAAACAATATAAAGGCAGCTAAATCATCCAACTTCCCCACCGTAGTCCATGAATCTTATGTTATTTCGCACCCGATCGACATTGCAAATCACTTTGCCAAATTCTGGAGCATCACTAGCTCAAACATATCCTTTGCAGCCGAGGTCATCGCCGAAATATCTTGCTTGAATATCGAATCCCTAGAAGAAAACGCAACTAGTCTATGGGACACCACCAAAGAGGTAACAGTCTTGGAACTTGACTCCATGCTCAGTCGCGCTCGTACAAAATGCATCTCAAAATCTTAAAAGTCGCGTATGCAAACTTTATAGCAACATTCTTGCAACTGGAATCTTTTCTCACGATTGGAAACACGCAGTTTTAATCCCGATTCCGTAAGCAGTTTTGATGGTTGTCGGCCTATTTCCCTGTTGCCCGTCCTTTCGAAAACTTTTGAAAAAATCATAGCCAATCGTCTGATAGCTTCTATAAAAAGCAAGCTCTGCCTCGAACATGCGTTTTTGCCTCAGCGAGGAGTACATACACTCTGCCATCAGTTAGAAACTAAGCTTAAGGAAAATTTTGCTAAAAGGAAACACAGCATTTTATTGTCTGAGGATTTGGAAATTGCATTTGATCGTGTTGTATCATCTCTCATCATTAAAACGCTACATGATTGGAAAATACCTAAGAGCTTCCTAAAAGTAACTCACTCCTTTCAATCATATCGACAAATAATCACCCGAATAGATGGATTTTACTCACAAATGCATACACTTGATAACGGATCCTTATCGGTCGGTAAGTCAACTCGCTTATAGATTTGATGAAAGACAGTGATGGAATAGACATTATTGGCATTTATCGTCGATTAAAGTACAAACCCGCGTATCGTCATTCTGCAAAACCGCGTAACTGACATTGGCTGCCAAAAACTGGATTTGCTCAAACAAGCTCTTGGCTCAATCCTTATGCATTCGTCCTGAAATATACTTGCCAGAAATGCGATTACTTTATAAAAAGGAGAACCATTTTGAAATATGAGTGTTTTTACGCTCTAGAAAATAATTTCTACAACTTCACATACGCGGTTTTGCATTTTGCTGATTTTTGCATTTTAATGTGACGCGGTTTTGCACTTTCAATGACGTTATGCGGAGAACATTCTTGCCATTGCCTCCGACGAACCATGTGATGTAGCTGAAAACCTCAAGGTTTTCGATCGTAAAGTCCATCAGGGTTCTACTAAATGAGGAGCAAATGTCCCAGTAAACAAGGTGGAGGCGATACATATTTGCTCTGCTCTGCCAATCAACAAATCGTAATTGGCTTATCTCTTAACACTCGCACAAAAAACAACACCAACCACATTGTTTATCTACAAGTATTTAATGGAATTATTGCTTCAGAATCACCGGAAATTACGCTATTCGTTGACGGTTCATATCGTGAGGGAGCCACATCATATGCGGTACTCAAAAAACCCTTGATAACTGCTTCACTGCAATCAAACAAAGCCTTTTGCCATTTTACTCGGGAATATTTAACGCTGAACTTGCCGCTTTAAACTACCAATCATAAAATATTGATTCGCTCGGATAGTCTCAGTGTTATTAAAGCGCTAACTAGGAAAAGTGGTAACGTATTTAACTTCATTTTCGACAACACTAATCTCACCAAGCCGCTAAAAATTTTCTGGGTACCAGGGCATGCTGGAATACAAGGAATCGAATTGGCACACATCGCAGCGAAAGATGCTGTACGTCTTCCATTAATCAACGAGCCTCAATGTTTAATACGGCAATCATCTCATATTACCCAGCTAAGCAATCTGTAACAAAGTCAGCTGAGTGGAGCATCTCGCCCAACTTTTTAAGGGACTTGGAACAACGCTATTTTCCACTAAATACCACAACACCAGAATGGACCCACTCAATTGACCTCTTGTTTGGTAAAATTGGACATTGCACACATTCTATTTCATTGCCCAATATCCAAAAATGTGCATCAAAAGCTCTGGACATAAGCGAAAGCATCGCAATTGTTAAGATTTCTTTATCGGCCCACAACATCGCTCAAGACATCTATCTGATATCCAAATGTATATTAATTGCCAGTGTACTATGACCTAGTTGTCCTGCACCTTACAATATTTTATAAATTTATTTATAATAATAATAATAATAATAATAATAAAATAAAAATAAATAAATATTTATAACATCGGATTGTTATTGAAATATAAAATAAAAAAGTAAGAAAGTCTAAGTTCGGACGGAGCCGAACATTAAATACCCGGCGCAAGTATTAAATATATGATTTTCACCTTTCCGAGAGCTACTGCTACATGGTAAGCCAGGGTGTATCAATTTTGAGTAAATTAGCGTCCTTAAATGTCGAAATATTGAAGTTTTAAGCATTTCTGAAATTTACCGTTATATGAAAAGCGGTCCAATTTTAGTCCGATTTCAATAATTTTCAACGTATTACTTGCCATAGCACAGTAACCGTACCGAGTTTGGTACGAATTGGTAGAACGGTTACCGAGATACATATATGTGATCATAAGTGGGCGGTGCCACACCCATTTTCCAAAATTTTATCATAAACGTATTTCTTGGTAAAGAATTGTTGTAGGCGTAAATTTTGAATAAATTAGCTTTAATATTTACTGATTTATCGAAGATTTCGTATTTTTCTAAATTGCCGTTATATAGGATGTGGGCGAGGTTATTGTCCGATTTCTAAAATTTTCGGACTGGACTTCGTCCGTCAGTTCGTAGAGATGCCTCCTGGCATGCCGGGGCGAGGGCTCTTCTGCAAGCAGCTGCCCATTCGGGTGACCACGTCTATGGCTCCCTGCAAGGAACTGCTTGCAGAGCATGGTGTTATGCTCCTTGACCGGGAGCAATTTCGCCTCGTCGTGTAGGTGGTGTTCAGGCGACATCAGAAGGCATCCAGTCGCTGTCCGTAATGCGGTGTTTTGAGTTGTCTGCAGCTTCATCCACTGCGTCCTACTAGTCCCGGGCGACCACCTTCTTGCGGCTCTGTACTTTGTTGACAATGGCGGTTGTGTGCGCAGAGGAGAGCAGACTGTCGAAGGTTACTCCGAGTATTTTGGGGTTATTCACCGTCGGAATTGGTGTATCATCGACGTGAATTCCCAGCGATAGCCTGACCTCCTTCGTCCAGGTGGTGAACAAGGTCGCAGAGTATTTCGTAGGGGAGAGGGTTTGGCTCACTGCAGTGAACAGGCGAGAAAGCTCGGGGAGATACCCGTTTACTTTCGAACACAAGTCATCAATTCCATTCCCAGTCGCCATGATCGAGCAATCGCAGGCGCTTTGAAATGTAAAAGTTAAACAGGAGCGGGGAAAGGACATGCTGATGCTTCGCTGGGGTCAGGTGGTTTGTGAAATACGGGAGCAGCAAGGCCTCCAGTGTCTTCGCTACCGGGGAAAGGAGTGTTATCGGTCGATAAGAATCTCCTTTGTTGGCTGGTTTCCCCGGTTTGAGCAGTGGGACCACTCTCCCCACCTTCCAGATATCTGGAATGATGAGAGTGGCCAGAGACATATTGAGGACTTCCGTTAGGTACGCTACTCCTGCAGGACCCAAATTTTTCAGCATCGACATGCATATTCCGTCGGGACCCATTGCTTTGGAGGCTTTCGCATTCCCGATGGCCACCTGAACTTCACCGCTGGTGAAAGCAAGGGGGGCACAAGTTGTTGGCAGTTTGTGCAGCCTTCTGGTCACTCGACGCTTGGCTTTGTCCACCGGAGGATGCAGTATGAACTGCGGGCTTAAAGAGGTCGCGCATCGCTCCGTGTCCGACGAAGCATGGTCGCCGAAAGAAATTTCGACGGATTGGACAGTGACCTCACGGTTGACCAAAGCTTACTCACACCAGAGGTTAGGTACAGGTCTGCAGATGCTCTTCCTATTTCTTCCGCTTATGTACGTTCACTAGTTGCCAAATCTCCGCGTTGAGGTGCCTGCTAAGGGGATTTCCGGGATCGGCCTGACGAAGGCTGTCACGCTCGTCGGCTAGAACAGCCGCTTTAGCAGGGATATTTGGTCGTGGGTCCGTAATGCATCCTGCCGGTACGACATTCTAGGGTGGTATCCCTGCGGTCGATGCTTGCTTCAATAAGACGATACTGCACGGTGTGGTGCGTGATGAACGCTAGCCACCACCATTATCTCGCTCGCGATCTCGACGGTGCACGTTGTACCCGGCGCAATTCAACAAAGTTGAACTGCTGTGCAACTTCGTCTCTTGGACCGCAGCTATTAATATACCATGCCGACACATGAAGACGGTTATCTCCTCAATCTTGATCTGTAGCCCGTTACAGTTGAATTGGAGGAGCTTCATGTGGTTCGGGAGACGTGTCGTGATGTGGGGTGTGAGTGAGGTGTATGTTCTTGCCGCCGTTGGCTGTGTGTGCTGCTGAGGTGATTGCCTCCCTGTGGTGGTAGTGGGGGGCGTCGCAATTGATGTCAGCGACCGAGCAGCGCAACACGGGCCCTCGAAGTTCCCCGTCCAATCTCGCGTGGTGCGCAGACCTGAACATGCGCTAAAGTGGCACCAGCCAAGGCAGGTGTTGCACTTGACTGATGTCACATTATGGAATATCCTGGTCTGACATACCGTGCAGATTGTGGGAGGAGCCAAGAGTTGTTGGCGGCGGCGTGTGGGTGGTGGTGCGGTTGTGTCTGTTATGTGGCCTGTCGTGGGTGTAGTGTGGTCTATTGTGTTGTTGTGTTGTTGTGTTGTGGTGCTGTGGTGTCTGTGTTGAGCTGCTCAGGTGGACTGGGGTTAGCCGTGGAGGCTGCTCTGTTTGAGCAACAGGGGGCCACGTACGANGGAGGCTGCTCTGTTTGAGCAGCAGAGGGCCACAAAAGATGTGGTCCACTGCCGATGTGTCCGTAGTCCTGAGCAGACTCGGAGATGGCTCCACCCCTCGCAAGCATTGCACTTGACTGAGGTGGAGTTGTGGTGTAGTCGTCTCTGGCATACACAGCAGCTGGAGGTTTCTGGCCCTGGGTTTGACTCGCTGCCAGCCCTGAGCAGAAGTACACGTAACAAATGTAGCCCTATGGACGACCAACTTCTGAGATACTTCGCCGACCTAAACGGGGTTAGATCGCCGAAACAACAGCCCTTGGT